CTGGGCTCTCGGCAGCGGGCTCAGAATGTCCCAGTGTCGGTAAAACAAAGAGCGAGCTGTTCAACAAAGGGCCTTCTGCTTTCCCCGCAGCTGCTGCTGCTGCCCTCTCCTCCCCCTCCACAACGGGACTGTGCCCAGCTTGCTTCTACCTGGGCACCCATCTCCTGGGCAAGCGGTCAAGGCACCGTCCTGGCAGCACGGTCAGGGCTCCAGCAGCGCCACAAAGTCAGCGTTGCCATCTGGTCAGCGTCTCAGCCAGGTGCGACCAGAGAAGACACCTGGAGAACAGAGAGTTGCATTCTCCACCAGTTTCTCCTCTCTCCACGTCACCCTCCACAAACCATGCGGGACAGTGCTCTCTCCTGCAGTCACCAGCTGCTGGCTAGGAGGAGGCACATCAGCCAGGCAAGCCATTTAGAACAATCCTTCCTATTCAGCACCTACTTGGCAGCGAGTGACTCTGCCAGCCTGTCATAAAGCTGTTTGCTTTATGCTCTGTTCTTCTTTCTCACTCAAGAGGACAACACACATTCAGCCCCCTTCCAGATGTTCCCAGTGTACAGTCAAGGTAATAAAGACTGGATTCTACTTACCAGATTTTTTACTCTTGGGGGAGTGGAGGGTCACTTGGGGGAGTGGAGGGTTAAGCCACAGTAATATTTCCTTTGCTGCTCCCCGCCTCTTCAGGCCTTTGCTTTCAATACTCTTTCAGAGACAGAGGCCTTTGCCTTTGGGCTGACATCTGGCAGCTCTCCCTGAGGTGCTATTTCTACCCATTGAAAGTCCATGTATGGAAAAACGTTTTTGCCACATTCAGACCAAGCCAGAAGTTTCAAGAGAAGCTTGGGGGCTACCTGTGGGGTGCTAGGAGAGCAGACACTTCTCCATCTCACTGCCAGCTTCCACTTGAGAAGTGCAATGCCTCTTCAATGCAGCCCACCACCAGAACCAGCCACTTTGTTTTAGCTCGCTCTTGTCTTGCCAAGCCCACTAGAAGGCGGCAGCTGGCTTGCAGAAAAGGGGACACTGAGTCAGATGCCACACACTTCACCATGCTTTCTCCTAACAGCCTCCCCTTCAGATTATCTCCTCTGATATTACCTAGCCCATATGTTGTTTTGCAAGACCCTTTGCACTTCTGTTGCTCAGAGGTCAATGACTGACCAGGATGAGACACACAAGACAGTGCTTGCATCACGCATAGTCAGAGACGTTGCCAGACAAATCTGTTGAAGGCCTTAACCAACAAATGCAGGAAGAGCATAAATCTACATTTCAAGAAACTCTCCATTACTCCACATCTTTTAAATGTTTGGCAACATGGACATATTTCTTAGGGGCTGCATTTGAGTTTGATGCCACCACCCTAAGTCACAGCAGGGGTAAGCGTGAGGAAGACAGCTTGGTGAGCAGACACATCCTGGTGCCTATACCAGCCCATCTCCCCCCAGGCCACCGACAGGCGGGACAGAGATCCAGATGCCAAGAGCCTTTCGCCAGCACTTGCTTTTCACCTTTATTCTGCAACCAGCATCACCTACTGAGGGAGGGAGGTTACACATCCTGCTTTTTACCACCCTCCTTTAGACCCTTTCTTCTTCTTCTGCTGCTGTTTCTTCTTGGTGGCCGGGGCACCAGCAGGTTTTTGGTGCCTGGGAGGGATGACGTTACTTGTGGCCGATACAGCTGCAGCGCTGCCAGGCCGAGGGGAGGTAGGTGGGCTGCTGGCAGTCCTACTGGCATCCCTGTGGGGAAGACAAGAGAAAGAGATACCACGTGGGTTGACAACCACCTGCAAGATATGGCACTACTGCAGGAAGCTGACAGGGAAAAACAGCATATGCCCTGTAAGACAGCATTATGTATGGGAGGGCACTCACACAAGGACATCTTAAATAAACTTCAGCATATACAGAAGGGCTGATAGATGATGGGAACATGTCTCAAATGGCAGACAATCACCTTCTAACCGATGTTCACTAGGTAGTATAAGTCCCCAACAACAAAAGCAAGGCTAACTTTTCAATAGACATGTGACAGCTCATGCAAGACATGAGAATCCTTTCAGGCCCCCACACTTAGGCAGTGCAAACCCAATATACTTTCTCTCTTCTTAACCAAAGGCATCTTTGTGACAGCTATCCTTGCAAACACTGCTCAAGCCAATAGTGCCGCAAAAGGCTTTCCATGCTTCTGTTTTGAGACAGCTGTGTAAAGAGAAACTATCAGAAAGCACTGGCAATTCCCTGTGTTGCTATCATTTTATAAATACTTCCTTCTCTCAGACGCTAATAAGTCACCACCTTGCTGTCAGACCTCATACACCATGGTAAACCCTAATTCCAGCTCAAATAATCAGTGTCAATTTAGGACATATAGCATTTTCCCAAATCATGGCTAATGGTTCTCCAGTTGCCAAAAGACTTTCAAGCAAATAGCTTGAGAGAAAGCATGCAAAATTCAACTCATCATCAAAGCTAAGATAAGCGCATTAAAAGACTACAGTAATTTTATTTGCACCTTGGCACCTTCAAGGACACCTATCATATCATTTTGGTTTTCAGCGACCTATAGGGATCTTCGTCAAGAGCAGCTAGTAGAAAGTTCAAGTGGCAAAGTACAGTTTCACTTGTGCTACCCATGGCTGGTGTGGTGAAGGAGCCACAGAAAGGCAGCACAAACCTGGCCCTCCCAGCCGCCCAGTGATTCTCCACACCAAGCCCTGCAAAATGGGTACTTACAGTTCAGAGGAGCCAGCTGTGGTTGAACCCTGAGTCCCCTTGCCAACCTGATCCTTCTTTTTGCCCTTCTTCCGTCCACGATAGTAGGAACGCTCTCGCATTGGAAGCCACCGTTCAGGGTCAGGAGTCACCTTGGGGTCATAGTTCTTAGGCAGCTTTCCTGCAGAACATCCAGTGCCAGGAAATGAGATTGGAGTCAACACACTAGAGAGATATCACCAAGGGATATGCACAGGATGTCAGTAGCCAGGAAGCACAAGAGCCCAGCAACCCACATCATCCTATGAGGGTGTTGCTCTCACTTTTGTGGAAAAATGCCCCATTCAAACAATCTATCATGAAGATCTGGGTTCACAAGGACCCAGTTTCAGCAAAGGGCTGCAGCTCCTGTGGAGCTCAAGGAGATTTGAAGAAAAAATCTGGCAAGTTCTCCAGAGCCATGCCACATCAACAGCTAGAAAATGCAACTTACCCTTCTTTTTTTTCTTCTTCTTCTTCACATCCCCTTGTCTGAAAACCAAGAAGGGAAACAGACGCTGTGACACAGCAGACAAGTCAACTGAAAACTAGCTCTGAAGAAGCTAAACTATTCCCATCTCTCTCAAAACATGGTCTGCCACTACCTGAAGTTCCTTGCAGTTAAACAACAGGCTCATTTTCCACCAGCCTGCCTTCTACAGCAACGCCTCCACCACACCAGCCGTGGTTCTTGTGCCACCCCAAAGAATGACTGCACCAGAGCAACAGCAGCTTGCTTTACCCTTGCTCCTTCTGCTGGTTGTCTCCAGTGAGCTTCCCAGCTTTCTTCCGAACATAGGTTGCTCCATGGGAGTTCTCCAACGCATCAACATCTACTTTCAGTGACATGGTGTCCGAGGAAGGCAAATGTTTGCTAAGACTGCGAGGGAAGAGTTCAGGGATGCAAACCAGCAAGCAAAAAGATAAACACCTAGGTTTGTCCAGATAGCAATGAGCAATTTCAGCTTGAACAAATTCAGCCCGTTAGCAACGTAGACACCAGACAAGCCTGCAAGGCTACTTCTGCCTCTCTCATCAGCTTCCTACACAAGCTGGGATGAGCTGCTTAATCGCCATCTGCCTCATTTTTCATGTCTTTGATGTAGGGACTGAAGTAGCGACTTCCTCTGAAAACTGCTCAGGGTGACAAAAGCAGCATACGAACCTGGTATTTTATTTTACGTCAGTGAGGGCTTAGCCATGTATTATCAGGCCCTGTCCTGCATTACTACCATAGGTTTAAGATTCCAACAGAAAAGATGGAGGAGTTCCTATTTTAGGTTGCACCTAATCTTAAGTTACCAATTCTCAGAGAGAAGGAGGCCAAAGACAAAAGGGTCCTGGGATCCCTCAGTAGGGAAATAATGTAGCTCCAGACAACTTGACCTGGATATGTAGCTGTTCTGGAGATGTTTCTTGCCTTTATTCACATGAGTGTGGGTCTGAATTCCCCACACAGC